AGCATGCTTCGAGGCATTAAGTTTTAGACCGTAGCTTTAGAGTATGGCGAACGTGGTTCCGAGATCCCATAGGTGGTCAGAACCTTCCTTGATTTTCACTAGGATATCATCAATGTAAACCTCCATAGTTACGCCAAGTTGCTGCTTAAAAATCTTATTCATCAAGCATTGATAAATGACCCTGGCATTTTTCAACCCAAATGGCATCACCATACAGCAATAAATCCCTTGGGGCATAATGAATGTCGTTTTCTCCTAGTCTGATTCATGTAAGGGAATTTAGGGCTAACCTGCCCGAGCATCCATAAAGGAGATGCGTTTGTGACCTGCGGTCACATCGACTAGCTGATCGACCTTTAGCAGTGGATACTCGTCTTTGGGGCATGCCTTGTTCAAGTCTATGAAATCCACGCAAACCCGCCATTTTCCCTCCTTTTTCTTTGCACATATCGCGTTGGATAACCATTGGGGGAATTTCACCTCTCAGATTAAGCTAGCCCCCAACAATCTGTCCACCTCTCCATCCATAGCCTTTGCATGGTGGGACGCCGTTCTTTGAGCTTTCTGCCTTACGGGTTTGAAGGATGGGTCCACATGGAGCCGATGAGTCAGCTCGTCGGCATTTATACCCTTCATCTCTGCCTGCGTCCATGCGAAGACGTGGGCATTTTGGTGCAAGAACTCTATCATGTTAGCCTTCTCAGCATAGTCCAGTGATGCTCCTATTAAAAAGAATCTCTCCTTGTCTTGGGATTCAAGAAAACTTTGACCAAGGCCTTCGTGGAACAATTGGTAGGTTCCATAATGGGTTCATCCACCCCAAGCCAACCAAACTGTAATTGTTATCTGGCCATCATTGCCTCGGGATCAGGCTCTCAAGCTCAGCTACTGACCCTAGTCTTTATCGCGGCGTAAAAATAGCTATTAGATGACTCCTGATCGCCACGAATCTCCATAATGCCCCTCAAGGTGGGAAACTTGATCTTTTGGTGATACGATGAGTGCACCGCCCTCATTGTATGCAACCACATTCTGTCCATGATGGCATTATATGACGAGTCGGAATCTATCACCACGAATTCCACTGGGATAGTAATGATCTCGGCATGAACCATGAAAGTGATTTTCCCAAGGGGGAGGGCACTAGAACTGTTGAAACCTATGAGGGGCATTCTTATAGGCTTCAAGTCTTTCTGGGTGAACCTCATCTTGCAAAAAAGGTAGTCATGCATCACCTCGGACGAGGTACCCGAGTCTACCAAAATCCTCTTGACGTCAAAATCGTCAACCCATAGGGTGATCACCAAAGCATCTTCATGCAGAAGTGCTAACCTGCCCAGGTCGGCATTAGAAAAGTGAATGACCTTAGCATCGTGCCAAGGCCTCTTGGATGACTACTCCTCACACCTGCTTTCCTCCACTTTTATTACTTGGGAGGCCCTTTGGAGATCAGCTCGAAGTTATATGTTGGTCTCTCGATGGTGCAAGCGTGTATGACTTCGATCACAGTTGCTACTTCATGAGGCACGTCGGCTTCCACCGTCGAGTCCCTAGAAGGTCTCCTATCAATGAATTTTCCCAAGTGCCTGTCTTGGACCAATTGCTCGAGGAAAGACTTATACACTTTACAGTCTTCAGTCAAATACCCACATCCATATGATAATAACATCGAAATGTGGAGTCCCTCATTGATGGGTCTCCTTGTATGTTGGGTTCATTTGAAGAAAGGCATCCCCTTTATCTTATGCAATATCTTGTAAATGGGTTCCTTGAAGACCGTGTTCACCCCTTGAAACGAAAGAAGATTTAAAGGAGGGGTGGGAGTCCCTTTCCTTGCAGGCAACTCCTTCTCCCTCTTCCTCAGCATGAGGGCCCTACTTTCAGGTATCATGGATTCTTCTTCCACCCTGGCGTACTTATTTATCCAAGCTATCAAGTCTTTCATATCTTTTGGGGCTCTCTTAGTAAGAGATTGGTGTCTCAGGATAGTCCCAGCCGAAATGTTGCTGCAGCCATTGCTTTCGAATAGGTCTCGACCTCGTTGACTTCTTCCCAGTACCTGATTGCTTACTACTGAAGGGACTCTCCACCCCTTCATTTAAGCATTAGCAACGCGCCGATGTCTTTCGGCCTTTTACTGTTGGTAATGAATCAAGCAGAAAAGAGCTTGGTCATTTGTTTTCAAGATCTAATGCTCTTTGGGGCCAAGTTCTCGTACCACTTCATCGCAGTCTCCCCCAAACTCATGGGGAAAAATCAGTACAGAAGCCTTTGGTCAGTGTCATAAATGGACATCAAATGCTTGTATTGTCACAGGTGACTCTCAGGATATGTTCTCCCATCATAAACCTTAAATCGGGGGACGGTGAACTTTTTCAGTATTTCGGTCTCCCAGATTGCTCGTACGAAATGAAAAATGATTTGTTCATCCTCGTCTTCCTCCCCCTTGGGTTTGGTTCTCTAGCGCTCTCGAAGATCTCTTCGGGGTCTTCCTTCCCTAGAACTCCTCACAGTGGACTCCATACGGGGCTCAGCTGCCATGACACCTCCTGATAGTCCACGGCGAAGATCCCAGCGGGATAGGCCTGTCCTTTGATGATCCCACTCTGATCCTTCCTCAGGAGCAAACTTTCCCCAACTCTTTGGGTTGTGCCTCTCGGCCTTGTGACTGCCCAAACTCCTCCCGAGGGTGTCTAGTCTCACGCCCCTGGAATTAACTTGGTCTGCACGCTTGCTACTTTGCCAGCTAGCACTCCCCGACTACTCAAAATCATCAAGCCTATGTTGTACCTTGGCATTGTCCTTCTCCAGTTGCTTGATGCGCTTTCCCATCCATTTTTTCACCAACTCAAGGATTTTACGAGCTAAAAGGCCTTACCCCCCCAAGGCTTGATCCACAGAGAACGTTCTCTGTGACGCATGTTCTCCTCCATCTGACCGGCTCATAGGATCTGACTCTGTGACCGTTGGGGGCCAAGTAGCCTCCACGTTTCTCAAGCATAAACTCACTCCGCTCTCAGTTTGGGATTGTGTATTCACCATGACACAATCGCTACGGAGAAAAGTTCGTATAGTTTCCCACAGATGGGGCCAAATTGCACGGAAGATTTCCTACAATAGATTGAGATAGCGATCTTCTCGATGATGAACCTAAAATAACCACAAAGTCAGAAAATGGGCCGGGTGAACACCCAGATTATCTCCTCCGAAATTTAAATCAGTATAAGTTTAGAGACTTGAGCACAGTGTATATCTTTTTCCGTTTGGTCTTTGCATACCTTTGCTCATTTTTTAAGGAGTATTTATACCTGAATTAGTAATGAGTGTCAAGGTTTAAAGTCTCATTTCAACATTTAATGACTTGCACTCTTACCCATGCGTAATAAGTGTTCTCCACTCAGATCTTTGAGTCTAGTTTACTTGGGCGATAAGGTGACTACTCGGGACATGCCGAGAACTTATGGCTCTATCCCCATTCATTCAAGTCTCCTAACCAGCGCTTTGATATCTAGTCCCGAGCATTCAATGCTCAAGAAAACAGTACCTCGGGGTGCACGGAGGAGTTATACTCGGTGCAATAGCCATTATTGTTTCGTAATCATGATTGTTGCTTTGGGTCTCGAGGATGCAGGGGCTCATTAATTGTCCTGTCTTAGTCACTCACATCTCCATAAATGAGCTGTCAAGTCACCTTAAATGCTGGTATCAGTCTGTGTACTTGGCTCCTCCGAGCCATTACTCCTCGATGCCACTTCTCGGGGCCTTTTTAGTTCCATAACGGCTACATTTTTACACGTGTCAATTTGGGGATTGCTGAGCCACCTAAAGTCCCACCATTAGCTTGTATATTCTTGTTATTGAGTGATCTTGAAATTATTTGTTAATTCAAATATGTGCTAATTTTCCCAACAAGTGCTTTGAAAATATACTCATCCATTAGCCTGTGATGCAATGGTGGCGGAGCATGCCGGTGACACGATAGTAGTGGACAATGGCAGCAGTGATAAGAAGGAAGGAATAGTGTCGGCCAAATCCCTGGGCAAGTTTGGCGCTCGCCTAGGCCCCCTAACTAGGCCACACACATATTACATCATTGATGTTTTAAACAAATAACAAACGATTTACAATTCGATGCCCTTTGGTAAGAAAAAAATAAAAATGTTCTTCACTAAAATCATATGTATATTAAATGACAGAGAGGATCCCCTTTGTCAAAAATGTGACAAATGGCTGCTAATTGTGCAATTGTGATGCTATTACACACTATAGAGTAAGTTATCATCTTATTTGAAAAGTGGGGAGTTTTTGCATGCAGTTGGTAAAGGTAGTAGATTTTGGTGTTGTTGAGACCATAGAGCAAGAGGCACTTTCAATGCTTTGCCTTTCGAGAAACAACGTGGAGCACACAACACAATTAGCTCAATGATATTTCAAAGAAAAGCATGGATATTGCAAGCCAAGATCAATTAATTAGAAAGAAAAAATCTTAATTGTTTTTTTTTTTTTTTTGCCTTTTGTAGGTAAAGGGGGTAGGTAGGGTGAGAGATCCAAATCCCCTCTTAACTTTTGTCACTCACCATATATTAGTGTAGCCTCTTTATATTGAGCAGGTTTTTGTCTAATAATCAATTATAGAAGAAAATTAAGGAAAAATATATTGACGACAATGACCTAGAGTTATGGGCGAGGGATTCCAATCCTCTCAGTAACAAATTTTGTTACAATTCAATCATGCTAATTTCTATGTATTATACTATTGATTGAAATTGTTAAAATTTGAAATCAAGGGTATTCAAATTTTCTACGTCTGACGATATAATTGAAATATGTGCATAAATAAGGAAAGCAAGTGCCAATGTAGCATGCCACTCCATGCAACGAAAGTCACTCGGTCGTAACACTCAACTAGTATATATCTATGCCTTGCATGACTTGTGAGTTAAGCCATCACCCTCCCTACTCTCTCCTACCAAATACTAAACTCCCTTCAACTCAGAGCTATGGCTTCGACAATATCAACTGGCCTCTTTAACTCGTGGGATGTAACAAATTTTGTCGTAAACCAAGGTCATGGAGTGAAGGGTCTAGCTGAGATGGGCCTTGAAACCTTACCTAAGCCATATGTTCAACCTCTCGAGGAAAGGATCACTATGAGCAAAACCACACATGAAGAGTCTATACCCATTATCGACGTGTCAAACTGGAATGACCCGAATGTGGCAGATTCGATATGCAATGCAGCAGAGAAATGGGGTTTCTTTCAGATTGTTAATCACGGGGTTCCCATACATGTACTAGAGAATGTAAAGGACGCAGCTCATGGGTTCTTTGGATTGCCAGCAGAAGAAAAGAGGATGTATTTGAAAGATCACTCGCCTACCAACAACGTGCGGTTTGGCACGAGCTTTAGTCCTCAAGCAGAGAAGGCTTTAGAGTGGAAAGATTACCTCAGTCTCTTCTATGTTTCGGATGATGAGGCAACTGCATTTTGGCCTCCAGTTTGCAAGTAAGTACATGTGTAGATGCAACACATTTAGCCAGATTTCAACTTATAAAAATAAAACAACGGTCAAAATTAATTTAATTTTTATCTATTTTAATTTAATGGTACAAAATTCATTTCAAATTTTTTTTAGCTCAAATATAGCATCTTCTGTGCAGCCCCCAATATGAGACAACTCTATCAACATACTCTATTGCCATACAATCTCATCAATATACTCCTATCTCTCTTTTTTTTCTCTTTATTTTAATTTTAAATTGCAAAATTTAAAAACTAAATTGCTATTTAAAATATAAATATTGTAGAAACAAAATGTTCGATTTTGTATATTGCATAATGTCTTGAGACACTAGATTATTACTAGTATATCAAAAGGATCCTTCAAGGACACATTTTTTCTTGGGAGATTTGGTGAGAGGTACAAAACTCATGGATTTTTTTTTTGGATTTAGATTTATTCCCAACACTTTTATAGACAGAAGTCTATAAAATTAAGCCTTGACAAAAATACCCATAATGAATGAGGTTATTTAAAAACCTCCCCAATTATCTCATTTTTATATTTATTACCACTGCTCATCATCATACCAATGTCGTTACCACCATTCACCACCACCCATTGCCACCACTACCCACAACCAACACTATCAACCACCACCACACAATTAGGGATGGCAGTGGACAGAAGCGGTGACGGGGGGTGTAGTCTATATTTTTGTACTCGCTTAAAAACTTCCGTCCATTCTCAGTCCACCCTTATTAACGTGTATAATTTTTATTCTCATTCCCGTCCGCGAGTAAATTGGTAATCCCTGTCCCCTCCCCGTCCCCCGCCTTGACCTCTGATCCCACCCCCCATCCACCTTATCTAAGCCCAAGTCAACATAATCCAAAATTCTAAATAAATCTAACATTCTAAATAATCCAACATAATTATAAAATATTATAATATAATTAAAAGTTTGTCATTTACAACATAATATAATTAAAACATTGTCTACAACATAATCCAACATAATATAATTAAAAGTTTATCTCCCTTGTAAATCCAATACAATATCATGCAACACAACATAATGTAACATAAAATAATCTAACATAAAAAAATATAAAAACACAAAGATCTACATTTTTACAAGCCAAAATCATGAAAAAAAAAAATCAAAATAATTTTCAAAAGAAAAAATCATTCAATAATATGAAGATTTATATTCACAGCAACATGTGTATGTGTGTGTGTGTGTATATATATATATATATAATAATAATAATAATAACAGGTAAAGCGGGGCGGAGGCAAGGTGGGAGTAAGTGTCAGTCCACCCCTGTTTTCATCCCCGTGCGGGTTTATACGAGTATCCTCATATATGTTCACCCTTTAATACGTATGGTTCATCTCCACCTCAAACGAAACGGATTTAGAAAAATACTTATTTTTACCTGATTCACTGTCATCCCCACACCCAATACACACCACCATCCATCCCCGCCCCATCACCGTCCACTATTACCACCATCAGCACTGTTCACCGCAACCACCATCACTCGTTGCAACTCTGCCAACCACCCCCATCAACCATTGTCACCAACTATCACCATTCATTACCCATTGAAAATAGTGAAAAATTAGTGAATTCAAAAATATTAAAAAAAATAAATAATGAATTTTAATATAATGAAACTCTGAGTTCACAAAATTTTTACAAACGATAACCTTTAATATAATGAAACTTTTAATTCACTATTCAAAAAATTTTCTAACGGTGAACTACAAAAATATTAAAAATTGAATTAAAATATATATATAAAGAATAAAAAACATAAAAATATTGAAAAAACATAAACCATAAACTTCAAAAACAGTGAACCTTAATAGAATGAAATTCATAGTTCATAAAAATAAAAATTTCATAGAATGAAACTCTTAGTTCATTAGGAATTCAAATACAATGAACTCAAATAGTGAAGTAAACATAGTGAATAATTACCATCGTCGTCGCCGCCACCACCACTAATCACCGCAACCATTGCTGCCAACCACCACCACCTATAACCCACCACCCAAAATAATGAAAAACTTGTGAACTAAAAAATATTGAAAAAAATATAACATACATAATTAATGGCATAAAAATTGTATATATCAAAAACATTGAATTCAAAAACAATTAAAAATTAATGAACTCACAATGAAAAACAATAAAAAACAATGAACTCAAAAATAATGAAAAAAATGGTGAAAAATAGTGAAACTAAAAAATAATGAAATTTAGTGAATTCCAAAATAATGAAAAAAAGTGAACTCAAAAACAGTGAACCATTTTACCTTTTTTACTTGGTGGTAAAATAAATCGGGTCATTTCACTGTTTAGCTATTTTATTTGGTGTTGAAATATTCAAAATTTTAAAAAAAATGAATTTCATCTAATTTTAATGTCTTAGACAACAAAATTTTAATTTATTTTACTTTTTTTATCATTGAAATTTGGACTTAATTTTATCTCATATACTTGGTGTTGAAATATGAAATATTTAAAAACAATAAATTTCACCTAATTTTAATGTCTTAGATGGTAAAAATTCAACTTATTTACTAAAACATAATTAATGGCATGAAAATTGTATGTACCAAAAGAAATGAACTCAAAATTAGTGAAAAAAGTAGCTCAAAAATAATAAAAAATTAGTGAACTCAAAAATTAAAACTAGTGAATTCAAAAAAATTGAAAAATTACTTAACTCAAAAATAGTAAAAAATAATTAACTCAAAAACAATGAAATGTTACCGAAAATTAAACAAAATTATTAGAATCAAAGACAAAGAAAGATTTCCATGTTACCCATTCATGAAAAAAAAACTAGATTTTTATAAAAAGATTAGAAGAAATAATCCAAGCACATTGATATATGATCGATCACTTAAAGAATTTGATTTCATTTAAAATAAATTTGATGCATATAGATGATACTGCCACATATCTGAGAGTGATGGATCTCTATTTACACGTCCTTTTATCCACATTTGGTCGATGTAGATGATCATGCCATAGATCACTGTGCATTATAAATCTAAATCTTGACAATAGGGAGCTTAATTAGAAAGACATGATTCTTAGATCTAGGGCATGATAAATCTATCTTAAAGGAGACAGAATTTTTTAAAAGAACTGTTCTTAAAAAGATTTAATCCATCAATATAAGTGAGGTACAACATTAACATGAAAATTACTAGAACAAATGAGCCACAAATTCATCAGAATTAAGGCGTCAAAATTTTAGATCCGATAAAATCAAACCAAGATAGATGTATAAGCAATATATATTCGGCAAATGGATGATCAATAAAGTTCCCAGCAGACATTGCCGACCTGAATTCCGGCCTGACCAATATGGAGCGAAATACACTCTCATTTTCGCTAATCAACACAAAAACTGAGCAAAGCTCAAAGAAAGGATCACTAGAAACGCAGAGAAAAGAAAAGAGAGAGAGGGGGAGAAGGAATTTGAAGACGTGTATTAAGACGCCAGTATAACCTTTGTTGTAGTTTACAATGTGCTCTAGGTAGCTTTGGCATTTTTTGATCGACATTGTTGAGAGAGAGAGTTTGGTTTAGTCTCATTCACTTTAGGACTAAAAGTTACGGGGTGGTCATTTAATTTTTTTTTAATTAGAATGGATTAAAGGATAAAAAAATATACTTAGACATGTCCATATCACATTCAAAGTGCTCTGCTTGTATGTAATGGCTTAAAAAATCATTTGAACGAACCTTTGACCAATTTTCACTTTTTTCTTTTATTTTCTTTTGTTGTTAGTTTACAAGTTTTAATCAAGGTTTACAAGTCCAAATGAATATTTTGGATTCATGCACGCATGTGTTTGTTCATCTACATTTCCGTATACGCTAATGTTTTTTCCATGGACTAATCTTTGCTTGATTTCAGGGATGAAGCACTGGAATTCGTGAAAAAGTCTGAACTTGTTATCAGGAGGTTGCTAGAGGTGCTAATGAAAAGACTGAATGTGAAGGAGATCGACAAAACTAAAGAATTGCTTTTAATGGGCTCAAAGAGGATTAACCTTAACTACTATCCTAAATGTCCTAATCCTAATCTCACAGTTGGAGTGGGGCGTCACTCCGATGTCTCAGCATTGACTCTCCTCCTACAAGATGATATCGGTGGACTTTATGTTCGGAAAATGGATGGTAATAGTTGGATCCATGTTCCTCCAATCAGTGAATCTCTTGTCATAAACGTTGGTGATGCGCTTCAGATCATGAGCAATGGTCGATATAAAAGCATCGAGCATCGTGTGACTGCCAACGGAAGCAAGAACAGGGTTTCAGTTCCAATTTTCGTGAACCCCAGACCTTTTGATGTTATCGGTCCACTGTTAGAAGTGCTGGAGAATGGAGAGAAACCAATGTACAAGCAAGTTCTTTACTCGGATTATGTCAAGCATTTCTTCAAGAAAGCCCATGATGGAAAAGACACGCTAGAATTTGCAAAGATATGAAAAGTTTCGAGTCAAGCCTGCTATCTTCGTTTGGAGTAATCGGGAGAATAATCATTACAATAAATTACGGATCATCGAGGCATGGTCCAAGAGAGCCAAAGCTAGTCTGTGATCTAACTATCTGTATCGGAGAGACAGTTTCTCTATTTAATTTATAGTAATTGTCTGTGCATGAAGGTACTATATTATTTATAAAAAATTATAAATATTTATTTATAAATAAAAACAATGAATAATATATTTGAACAAAGCAACAATCAAATTGATATTGTTCAATCTATATACAGAAGATATATAATCAAATTTTTATATAACGAAAATCACGCTGCAACTACTGTAACATATTAATTCCAAAATCTGAGAAAATATAATTTTATTGATCAAACATCTACGATTTTAACATTTTTAATAAACCTTATTTCAAATTTGAAAAAATTATAATTATTTTTCCAATGTAAGTTTGTGTAACTTGTGTGAAGAAAATATCCAAAAGTTTCACTTGAATTCTAGTAAATGTAAAAAAATTTGTTAAGAAATTAAAATCAGTTTCTATTTCGGCTCAACTTATATATTCGTAAAATTCAATCGAATTTAAGTTTAAGTAATAATTTGTACTTTATACTTGACAGTCAAATTCAACTCAATTTGAGTCTTAATCATAATTACGTTAAATTGAGAATTAAATTTAAGGTCGACTCAATTAACATTTCTATCTTAAACCTACAAACTAATTCTTATCTATTCTCGTTCACAGTGACACTTACTAACCCTAATTAATATGTAAATTAGAATAGTTAAATAAATTAAATTGGTATGATAAAATAGCAAAAAACTATTAATTAGAGTCAATTAGGGTTTGTGGGTAAGTAGGGTTTTTATGTGTATTATGTATAAAATTTTTCGGTTTGATGCAGAATTACTAGAAAATATGAAGAACAATGTGTCAAATCTTAAAAGAACAAGGGATCAAAGTGTAAAATAAACAAATGAAAAGTCATCATGCAAAATCCAGCAAGGCCTCACCGTGCAGACGGTGGAGGCCATGCATCGCGGCTGAAGTTGATCCTACTTTCCTTTACCTATAAATACTGCATGCCTCCTTCCTTCTTCAGACGGTTGGACTTAGAGAGTTCCAGGGAGAAGTTCCAAAAAGAAAAAGAGAAAAAGAAAGAGAGAAAGAAGAAGTCAGATAAAAACTCGGTCCGTCATACACTCCAATCGAAAACTCTGTATTTTTATATTTCTGTTGAATCTTTCTATTCGGATAGTTGAATTGTCGCCACCTTTTTGTCTTGAATGATAATAAAAATGGATGTGTTTCAGTAGTTATTTGAGAAAGAAGTTTTAGAGTTTGTATCTTAATTTCAGTTGTAATGAAAACTGTTCGCACTCCTTACTTGTTTATAGCAATGGGTGTGAGTGGTTACTTATATCCTCCAGTGAGAGGTAAACATATATACAATATTTGTTAACTACTAGAAATGCTGATATTTTATTCATATATTTATCTATATATGTATTATACGCTTCATGCATGATACAGTGATATACGTAATTTTGGTGTTGTGCCTGGAATTATGTCATCAGTGCATCATGAACCTATCGGTTATATATCTACGATGTTCCAATCAGTATAGCTTGTCCTCCACCGGAACACTGAGGATGTTCTACTAATGCATGGTACAAAACCTAAATGATCCTCATGAATGGTCTGTCCTTCTAGATTATCAAGGTTATTTAACTACCATATATAACTATCAGATTAATGACCTAAGTGATCCTCATGAACGGCTTGTCCTTCTGGATTATTAAGATTGTTTAACTGGTATACATGATAATATTGCCAGTCGAATATCTACGATATTCCTATCGGTATGGCAAGTCCTCCACAGGAACGCTAAGGATGTTTAACTAGTATATATATCACAGATGACCTATTGAATAATTCAAGTATTGCTCATGAATGGTTTGCACTTTTGATTCACTCAAATTAGTCAAATGACGCATCTATAACCAGCTAACTTAAGAAGTTGTTGTGTTATAACTTAATACCACCAGTAACCTAAGAAATTGCTGAGTTATGGTTTGTTATGTACGCAGTTACTATCATGGAGTCAATTGAATATTTCAAGTATTTTTCATGAATGGCTTGTCCTTCTGGTTTGTTTGGATTAATCAATTGTCATGAATACCACCAGTTAACCTAAGAAATTGTTTTGTGATGATTTATAAACATCAGATCTACCGGTTGACTTGCCAATAATATGGAAGTTAATTACTGTAAGGTAGCATTTTCGGTACTTGACCAAGCATATAGGATTCTTAAACTGAATGATACTTTTTATATATTATAGTCTTCTATCAACTTTATATGCAACCAACCTTTTAATTAAACTAGTTATCAATCTAAGCTCACATCACAAGCTATCACATGTTGTCCTATTCGAAATAACAACTTCACTATTTTTATTTTATTTCCTAATTATTCAAACTCTTCGTGAAATCGATACTTGAACTTAAAATCGAGAAAATTACAATTCGACTATTTATGCTTGAGTGTATAATATTAATCCGATCACAAAAAAGTACGAATCAGGCACCATAATTTGTTTTAATTTAATTATTCTTTATTATTTTTACAGTCAATTTCAATTTTCATTCAACTTTGAATACTCGTAAAATTCAAGCAAAGTTAAATTTAAATAAAAATATATAATTTATACTTGAAAATCAAATTCAGCTCAATTCAAATCCTACTCATAATCACTTTGAACCAATAATCGAGTAAAATGAAAGGATTCTTAAAATGTTTGTGCGGAAAAAAAATTTGGAGTAGTTTTGATCATTTGATCAATAATTTGACCGACAAAAAACTCAAGGCAAACAATGATAGTTCCCTTAGTGTGTGTGTGTGTGTGTGTGTGTGTGTATATTATTCACTTATTATACCATTCGAATATTATAGCATTTTTTATTTTAATACAAAATATGATCTATATTATAGTCATTCAACTTGTTTTGATGCAAAGAATTTGCATTTAAGGTCTACTTGTTTATTTAAAAATTTAAAAATAATCTGTAATTATATAGAATCATAATTAACGACATAATTAATGTGTAGTATGAGATAGAGAGAGAATTATAAAAGATATAGAAGTCTTAGAATTGTAGAAGGAATAAAAGTCTTGTTCAAAAAATTGGGAGAGAGAATTTAGCATTAGGACCGTCGGATCAATAATCGTCAAGCAATCAGAACCACTCTCACTTATGGAATTGGAAGGGGAGAATTCAATGTGAATGGTTTTGAGAGGAATATTACTAGCTGTTGGATGAGTCTATTTGAGACTATCGGATGGGCTCATTAAAAAATATGTTTTTATATATATATATATATATATATATATATATATATATATATAGAAAGATAGATAGATAGATAGATATAGGATGACATATGTTAATAAACATATATTTTGTTAGCGATAATCGTTGTTATTGTATTATTATTTTGTTAATTTAAATTATGCATTTAAACTGTTTATTATATAGATTGGATTATATATATAGATATAAATATCAGTATAGATATATTGATAGATAGATAAATAGGACAGCATATGTTAATGAACTTATATTTTATTAGAGATAATCCTTGTTATTAGAGTTTTAATAGATTTTTGATATATTTTGTTTTTTTATATATATATAACTATCCGAGTCAATCTCTTTCATGGTTTGAATAAGAATAAGGAGAGATAAAAAAGAATGTAGAAGAGTCTTCTAAGGATATAGATATCTCTAATGGTTTGAATGGGATGAGGAGAGATAAAATGAATGTAATAAAGTCCTATAAGAATGTAGATTAATTAGGATCGTTAGATCAAAAACCTGAAAATAATCTGAACCGCAAAAAGCTCATTACAAACCAAGTTACGAGAGATTAAAGAAATGTAGTAGAGTCCTATAAGAATGTAAATTAATTAGGATCGTTGGATCAAAAACCTGAAAATGATCTGAGCCACGAAAAGCTCATGATAAACCAAACTAGCTACTTTATTATATAAATTTCTAATAAAACTATGTTTCTCTTTATTTAATTTTTTTTTTTTTTGAAATGAACCTAATATACTAAAGAGGTACAAAATAAAAAGGGGACCCCAATTTCAAACTCACATTAAATTACATTTGTGTATTAACGTGAACATACTTGGACATAAAAAACATAACCCACATGGGTATTCCAGTGATGTGGGGTTAACTTAGATGAACCGTATATTAAGACATGCAATGTTCTGTTATGGAAAATGACTATCAAATGTTTAGATAAGAACACTGTATCTCTCAAGGAGAAAAAATCTAACCACAAGGCAGTGACCACCGGAGTGAAAACTCGTGCAGGCCTGGTTCATATTGGATCATCTTCCTCTTCAAATGACATTCCCAATGAACCAAAGACTCTCATCTAGGTGGCTTAGTGCTATGCATGTAGAATTGCAACCCTGCATTAGAATAATACTAGGACACATATTCATCGACATAATGTAATTGGGTGCAAGTGGGTGTTCGAAACCAAGCTACTTGCAAATGGAGAACTTGACCGCCTCAAGGCACACCTCGTGGCGAAGGGATTCGATCAAATCTCAAAGATTGATTTTTCCGATACTTGCAGTCTAGTTATTTGACGACAAACAATGCGAATTGCCCTCATTATTGCACTCTCATGCAATTGGGAAATTCTTCAGTTGGACGTCAAGAATGCCTTTTTTTATGGCAACTTGAAAGATCCATTGTATATGGATCAACCTCCAGGATTTATTGATCTAAAATTTCCAAGTCATGTCGGCAAGTTTTCTCAGGGAATTTATGGTTTGAAGCAGGGTCCTCGTGCATGGTTCGATACATTCAATCACTTTCTCATTTTGTTTGATTTTTTTTTTTTTGTTCTCAACCTGATCCATCATTATTTTATCTCCACAACTCTAATGGTACTCTTGTTTTAC